CTGATTCCATTCCATGTTGTCGAAATATTCAGAAGTTTCCAAATTTGTGATATTTTTTAAACTTTTGAAACCTCTCTAGATTGTTTGAAACCTAATACGCTTATTTTTACAACTTAAAAGTTGAAAAAGTTTTTCTTGTAAACATTAAAATTTGCTATTCTTTCAGCGCAAGAAAAAGCCTAACTTTTGTTTATTTGTAATTTTGATATAATTGTTATACATGTAAAATATCAAATAAATATTCTTTAACAAATTTATTTTAGTAAGGTAGGATAGAAAAGAAGGAAATCAAGAATTGAATGGAAGGAAAAGAATGATAGATTAGTAGGAAATCGAGGGAAGAATAGAAGGAAAGGAAGACTAGAAGGAAAGGAAGAATAGCTTAGAAGAAAGACCAGAAGGAAAGAAGGAAGAGAATAGAAAGAAAGGAAGGATACAATAACAGGAAAGAAAAGTTAGATTAGAAGGAAAGGAATAATAGAATGGATGAAAAAGGAAACGATAGAATAGAGGGAAAAAAAGAAAGTATAGAGAGAAAGGAAGGATGGATTATAAGGAATGGATAGAAAGAATAGAAGGTAAGGAAGGCTAAAATAGAAGGAAAGGAAATATAGAAAAAAAGGAGAGGAAAAATAGAATCGAAGGAAAGTAATGATATAGTAAAAGGAAATGAAAGATAAAATAAAAGGAAAGGAAAGAAAGGATATTAAAGAAGGAAAGGAAGGATAGAATAGAAGGAAAGGAAGAATAGAAAAGAAGGAAAGGAAGGAAAAATAGAAGGTAGGACGGATAAAATAGAGGGTAGGAAGGATAGACTCGAAGGAAGCGAAAGGAAGAAAAAGAAAAGGAACGATAGAATAAATAAGAAAGGAAATGATAGATTTGAAGGAAAGGAACGATAAAAAGTAAAACGATAGAATAGACGGAAAAGAAAGACCGGATAGAAGGAAAGGAAGAAAAGATAAAATATATGAAAAAGGAACAATACACTAGACGGAAAAGAAAGTGAGAATTTAGAGGTAAAGGAAGGATTTAATAAAAGGAACTTGGTAGGATACATGATGAGGAAAGGAAAGATAGAAGAGATGAAAAAGGAAACGATAGAATAAAGGGAAAAGAAAGACAGAATAGAAGAAAAGAAAGCAATGATAGATTAGAAGGAAAGGAAGAATAGAATAAAAGGAAAGGATAAAATAAAAGGAGAGAGAGTACAGAATAGAAGGAAAATTAGAAGGATAGGAAGGAAAGATTAGAAGAATAGGAAGGAAAGATTTAGAAAGAAGGAAAGGAATTTGGAAGGAATGGAAGGAATAATTAGAAGGAAAGAAAGGAAAGATTAAAAGCAAAGGAAGGATAGAAATAGAAAAGAAGAAAAGGAAGGATAGAATTAAAATAGAAAAAAGGAAGGATAGAAAAGAAGAAAAGAAATGATAGAATTTTCAAATTACGGTCGGATAAATAAAAAAAACCCTAGTTTTCAGGATTGTCGAAAACAATAACTTTAACATAATTTTCCTCTTTTCACAAGTTTTCAAAATTGCCTCTTTAAAAATATATATATTCCACGTTTCATTTTTCCTTTACAGTCCCTTTAAAAACTGTGGAAAACCAAAATATCCTATTAATTGTTAATCGGTCATAAAACTAAGATAATATATAAACAAAATGGAACTCCATAATAGAAAAAACAGAAAGATTTTTAGAAAGTTCACTGACCTAAAGATTAAGATGTGAATAAATCGGAAAAAAAACGATTTTTCATTAGAAGTAAAAAGATGGAGAAAATTAGTTTTTTGGTTGCCTAAATTCAAAATGAAGATCAAGTCAAAGCTTGTGAGCCGACATATAGCTAGATTGCCAAATATCGACCAAACCACATAAAAAAAATCTAAAAAATACTTTTAGTGCTTTTATAGACTCCAGTTCGCCCCTTTCCAGTATTCAAAGTCTCAAACTCAAACTCAAGGCGAATCCAGGATCCTGAGCCGAATCCGCATTAAAATGCAATGTGTCCTAAGCCCTGGTTGCTCCTAGTGTATTTACTTCTTGTACTCACCGATGATGTGCTGACAAAGCTGTAAAGTTAAATGTTCCTCTGTCAAACCATCAGGAAGAGTTCCTACATAATCATTATATTCCAGGATATAATTTTTTTTTAAACCCCCCTCCTCTCATTTGGGAGGATGGTACTTGAAGATTGGGGGGAGGTGAGGGGCGGGAATATTTATCTTGGACAATTGAATCCCCACCCCCCTTTTAGGTGGGATTTATCCATATATTCCATTGTTTGCAACATTTTGCTGCCTGGATCTAAAATTTACGGATCAAGGGATTCAGGTCAAAGTTCCAAAATTTCAACTAAAGGATTTAAAAAAATAGTTTTGTTAGGAGTAAATAAAATTCTACCCCCCCCCCNTATATACCCCTGTAACCCCTGTATTTGTTTCATCTAGTTTTAATAATTTACTGTACCAAATACAATATTTAAAAATTAAACTCATATTTTTGTTGTACACTTTTTTTTAAGGGTGAAACTATTTCATCAAAAATGTCAAATCCTTGTTGAACCAGCAACAAAATATACGGTTGCAAAGAGTGCATAGGATCCATTTAATTTTGATGCGGATCCGGATCAGGATCCAGGTCATTTCTATAAGATTTACTGAATCTTTTTAACAAAAAATAATTTTCAAATTTTTTGTTTTATTTTTTTCGCATATTTTTATCCTAAGACTTGATGAACCATTCAGAATTAAGGAAATTTTTATAATCTTTCTTTTTTTCAAAAGTTCAAATTTTGGTAATAAGAGTAATAAATGTTTGTTTTTGCAGTTTTTGGTTGATATCTTACCCCTTGGATCCGGATCCGTGGATCCGGATCCGGATCTAGGAAGCCAAAATCTTGCGGATCCAACGGATCCGAGTCCGGATCCGGATCCTAAGCACTGGTTGTATATTAGAAGCAACATTTGTAAGAGACAACAATTTTTAAAATCAAAACTCAGTTATAAAAGCTTTAAAAAAACATGGATTGTTATCAGGGAATGTCGATTTTTCAATTTTTTCAAAACATTTTGATACATGAGTATTAAAAGATGCGTCTTAAACCGCCGAGTTTCGACCATTCGTCCTATTTTTTATTTCAAAAATTGTTTTATTTAAGGCTAAAAAACTAGTTTTTTTTTGATACAATGAAATATATATTTACGAAAAATACATAATTTGCTTAATTTTCAAGAATTTTTTACGAATTGAAAGTTTCGGACCTCGAATCTGTTTTAAAAACGTATCAAAGAAAAATTTACAACTGGTGAATTGGAGCATTTTTATCAAAAAAAAAATGCCAAATAGTTTAACCCTTGATTTCAAAACAGACCAGAACTTCAACCTTTGTGAAAGTTAAGAAAAAAATAGTTTTATTTTCCCTTCTAAGTTATACCTTCCCCGGTAGATGTGTACGCCATAACTGCCGTGTACCGTCCAAATTTAATCTTCTCTTTGCTCCCTGCAACTTGAGGATGCGCTAAACCCACCAACTTTATTCCGCTTCCTAAATAATACAGGGGTAAAATTATTCCTCCCCATTGCTAACTTCCGGGAAAATTTTATTTCAAAAGAGGGGGTTGGATTATTGAAGGTTTGGGGGAAAAAATAAAAATAGAACATCAAAAAAAGGTTTTTCCATCCTATTTTATACTTTTACTTTGCATTTTTATCAACCCCAATGTATCATTTATCCCAAATTCAGCGCATATATCCCACTATGTACCTAACTTGTTTTGGGGGAAAATTATTAATAAAAGAGGGGGATTTATTTTTCAAGAAAATATAAATAATTAAATCCAACAATGTTATCTCCGTCGATGGTTTTTTCTCAAAATTTACAAATAGAACCCTAAGACTTTGGGGGCGTGGGGGGATGTTGAGAAATAATTTTTAATGAATGGAACATCAAAGGCAAGTTTTATTCATCCTTATAAAAAACTTTTCCACAAAAATTCATTTATTTCCCCCAGTGCTTAGGATCCATTTAATTTTGATGCGGATCCGAATCCTGGATCCGCACTGGAAAAAAAGATCCGGATCTGGATCTGGATCCAAATCATTTCTTTACTGATTTACTGAATTTTTTTTAACAAAAACTAATCGCAAATTTTTTTCGCATATTTTTATCCTAAAACCTGATGAACCATTCAGAAATGAGGAAATCTTTATAATCTCTCTTTTATCAAAAGTTCAGATTTGAGTTTTGGGAGTAAGATAGTTTTTTTTTTGCAGTTTTTGGTTGATAATTTACCCCTTTACCCCGCATATTTTTGCGGAAAAATCTTGCGGATCCAACGGATCCGGATCTTAAGCACTGATTTCCCTATTAAAAATTATTTATTTCCCCAATTCTGCGAATACAACCATTTAAAAGAAACATATCTAACTTTACGAAAATAAACGATTTTCTATGAGGCAACGGGGAGGGGGGAGGGGATGATTTTTCAAGAAGATATTTATAATAAAACCATGAGTAAAACTAACATTTTCTTAGTAAATTATGAAAAGACTTATTTTTATTAAACATAATATTAGCTTCGTAGATTTTTAATATTCAGCAGAAAAAATGTGTAACAACTAAATTTTTTATAAATATACGGAAACCACGGCGTATAGAAGAATTACTAAGAATGAAAAATAAACCTGATTTACTGTGAAATACGTCGGCATCACCAAAGGCCATGTTTTCACCGATTTGTCCAATATTCAGTGCAACTAAATCCGCAATTGTCTGGTCATCTTCAGTTTTTAACAAACCCACCTCAGTACTGAAATACAAGATGAAGAATTTTTTATTGCGAAATTCAGACTTAAATCAATCAATCTATCAATTTTAGAGATTGAAATCTGTTATTCTTCGTAAACAGTACAACTCTCGTCTTCATCCGGGTCCATTTTTTTTCAGGGCGGATCCGGGATCCGGTTCCACAAAAGTATTGAATTCCATATATCTCTGCCTCTACCTTTCATCCGTAAAAAAGACCCAATAGTGCAATAAGACCCCCTTCTACACACACATTACTTCCTCTAATAAATGTTTTTAAAAATGTCATCATTAATTCTTTTGAAGGGGATGGAGGAGATGTCGATCCTATTTGATGAGGGGGGGGGTCCCTGCCTTCATTTTTGGTTCAAATCCTCCCAATTGTTTGGCTGCACATCTAATTGCTATTACTGTATTCTCTGGATTCCTAGCTTTTATTTGATATGCATGAAGCCATATTTAAAACATTTTCATTTTGGAGGTCATTTTAGGTCATAAGAGGTCATTAGAGGGTCAAACACTAGATTTGTTGTTGCTGCTACTGAATTCCCTGGAGTCCTAGCTTTTATTTGATATGCGTAAAGTCATATTAAAAACATTTTCATTTTGGAGGTTATTTTAGGTTATAAGAGGTCATTAGAGGGTCAGACACTAGATTTGTTGCTGCTACTATATTCCCTGAGTTCCTAGCGGCGCTACGACATTTGCTCTAGGGATATTTGCTCTAGTTTCATTTGCTCTATATGCCATCTGCTTTATACGTCATTTGCTCTATTTGTAAGCACATTATCTGCACTATAAACATGCATTTTATACAACTAACTAAAGTATTGCTATTTATAAATATATACGATTAGTCTTATCCCTCTTATTATTGACCAGTCTCGCCATTTCGTTCACCCTTGGAGAACTGATTCAAATTGTAAGATTTTAGAATTTGCGAATTTTCCAAAAAATAGTACCCGTACTTCATTAACTTATTCTCAAAACCTTTAATAATCGAAAAAACAAATGTAAAAATATACGAAATAATTAATTCAAAAATACGATGAAATTTCTAATTTATTTTTATTTTCTAGTCAAAGCAGCGTGTTCTTCTCCATCATTTAACAATTAACTTATCTTCGAACTGTGTCTGTTTTAAATATATTCTTAATCTAGTAGAACTTGTATATTGTAAAATTCTATATAAACAAATAAATCATTCCACAAGGATCTAAACCCCCGGGTTAGGTGGAGGGAAGGGAATGATTTTTAAGATCTGGGAAAAATTGGACATAAAATGCAAGTTGATTCATTCTTTTACGTACATTTTCAATCTAGGGGGGGGGGGGATAATTTTTAAAGAACATTTTCAACCCTGCTAACCTGGAAAGAGTTGATCTTGAAAGGGATTCCGATGTATCTAAGACCGGTAAACTGGCACAAGTGTTAGCTAACGTTTCCAATATACTAAACCATTCATCATTTAGTCAATCACGACGCTAATTATTTGCTTAAACTAAATTGTTCTATTCTCTTGAAGGTGGTGACTTGGTAATGGTTTTGATATTTTGATATTTTTAGATTTGAATCAATCAATCAATCAAACAATATATCAAAAGTTTATCAGTAAGAAATTTAAGAACTTTTAAAGCCCGACTGTAAGCGTAAAATCAAGTGACCCTCCATGCAAAAATGCCCTATTCACAACGGTACCCTTAAAAGCGTTGTCTGATCAAATATCAATTAAATACTTATTTTAATAATTTAGAAAACTGATATTTTAAATTGTGGTTTATCTACATCAGTGACTTGCGCATTTCTACTTCTTGCCATCTTTGCAAGAAGGTCACTTAAATCACGCTTTCACTCCCTTTGATCAAAGCTGAAAATAGAATAAATAAATTAATTATTCCACCAACCAATCAATCTATTAGCGAGACAATTAATCAATAAATGAATTGGTTTCCTTATAAATTTCTTATTTCTCGCCACAAAATCTGTCTCGCAGTTGAGTTCCACCATTGCAGCAGAATTCTCCTGAACTAGAACGCCTAGAAGGCCTTGGGTTGTGTTTCGACCCTAAACATGGAAATCTGTTAGATAAAAAAAAACTTGTTTAAAGGGACTGTAAGGTAAGCGTAATTCTATGTGACCATCCATGCAAAGATGACAATGCCCCGATTTGAAACATTAATCTGATCAAAGATTTTCGACTCGAAAACTATTTATTTCTGTGGAATGTGAAAGTCACTTCAGCCGAGAAACAGCAAATGAAAATTATCAGTTTGAAGATAAAAAATACATGAATATCTATTTCACACTAAAACAGACAAACCTTTTATGGGTACCGTTGCAATTCAAGCACTGCCACCTTTGCATAAAGGGTCAATTTAAATTACGCTTACATTTTAATTGACTGATATTTGTAATTTTAATTGAATAATAAGCTACAAAATCTTTTAAAAATTAATACTTTTCGACTAATTGGGGAAAAAAAAATACTTGGCCACAGGAATTGCCTCGACCAATTTTGTCTACAAAACCTCTCTTGCTGCGCTCTGGAGTCTGGATAGGCAAAATTGGTCTTCGGAACCCTTGGTGAAGTAATATTCCCATAACTTCCCTGGCAAGTAAATGTAAATGATTGTTAAACCTAAACCTGCAATTTCTGAGCCTTTGCCCAGCCCTGAGCCTGTGCTTGTTCCTTCAGCCATCCTTCTGCTCGCTGCAGGTCATTCTCACTCTCACTGGGTCAATTGTTAGCAATAATTTAAATAAGGAGGATGGGGGCGATTTGATTGATATTTTGATTCAAGAATTCGCTAATTTACGAAACTAGAACATTTTGCTTCATATTTACTACTTCTATCGTCGACTTAGGGAAAATAGAAAAGTTTTCGGATGAAATAATTACAAAATGAGGAAATTCATTCAAACCCCTATATCTAAATCATTTCTTAAATATCTCAGAGTGGACTGTGTTCTGTGATTTCTAAAGTCTACAAGGGTGTATATTTTCCTGAGAAATCGACCCCCCCTTTTGAAAATCATTATATTCCCTATGGAAGTTAGGCATGTTTGCGCGGTTTTTAATTTTAGATTTTTTTTGCGCTGAATTTGGTGAAACAAATTGATTTTTAGGGGAAAATAAATTAATACATTTTGTGTGAAGAGGGTGAAGCCGCTTCTCTAATCATGCAATTTTTCATTTTTTTCTCTCCAGATCGTCATTCTGAAACATTTACACGCCTGAAATTCTAACAAAAAAATAGAATTACTAATTTTCCTGAGAGCTTTTTTGCAAATAGAAAGCGAGTATCCAGTCTTCTTCCTACGAATAAAAATACTAAAATAAAATAAAATGTAATTTTAAATACAATTTTGAACATAATTTTCATGTAAATTCTGATATACATTTTATTCAGTATTATAAATGGGATATATTTCCTTACAAACATTCGACTCTTGTTCATTTTCCTTGTTAAATTTTTCATTTTCCTTTTTAAATTTGTAATTTGTTGAGCTAGCCTAAGCAATTATAATACATTTAATTTTCATGTAGTTATTTAATTTTCAAATTCTATTACTCGCGAATACCGCAATGAAATATAACAAGACAGATTTGTATATATTTTAGGGTTAGGTTAGGTTTAGACACTTCCTGTCCGCGCACTGCGGCTAGGACAAGCAAAGGGACCGAGCGCCGCGGCGAGATTTGTCTCTCTCTCTGTCTTATAATTCATTGCGGCAATCACGAGTAATACAGATTGGCCGCTGCCAAAATTATCTTTAAAAATGGGTTTCAACAGGAAAAATTAAAACATTTTAATTTTGTTGGAAACGTTTGTTTTGGGCAATAATTAATAAGATACTCAAGTTTTGCAGAGCTTTATGGGGTGGGGGGATGTACAGTTTTCTCTCACCCCAATTGCTAAAAAATACCGTAAAGCAGCCAGATTAGATTTAGAATTGGCAAAGGCTGGAGAAATATGAAAATTTGCAACACTCTGGTTATATAAGCAGAGAGCAGGCCTCAAAGAAAATCTGCACAACATTGCAAATATCTGAAAAAAAACACAAATATTGTGCCATGAGCTTAGAACAAGTATTAAGTATAAAGAAAGGAATCTGTATAGGGCTCTGCTGAATAGTAAATTAGTATTTATTTATTATTATTTAAGGTTCATAAAGCCATAAATCTACAATAAAACTTTTTAATGTTTGACTTGTGAAGACCCCCCTCCCCCCAACCCCTCCTATCAACTTTGTACATAGAGCTCATATGATAGACGCATGTTAAAATTTTGACAGTGGACGCAGCGCAGAGCCCCCCTAGAGATCCTTACGGGGCAAAATTAGGAAATTAACGGGGGTCCAAACCTTCGATACTAAAACGGGGCACTGTTGAAAATTTCCTAATACTCAGACAAACTTTCATCCAAGCTACCTGGCGCCAAGCAAATGAAAACCATCAGTCTAAACCGAAGATCTGGAGAGGAAACCATGTACATCAACGGGAAGCATCATAGTTACATGGATATCAGAAACTTAAACCAACAGCGATCAAGATACTGTGAAATATGCTCTGAGTACACTGGCAGCCAGAATATCCAACCTACTCCAGTCTTCCATACTCATAACAACTCCAAGAACTATCGGATCAATGCTCCTTTGGACATCTGGGGGAATTATCCTTGTTATACCTGTACCATGACACCTCACTCATGCAAAATTGGAGTCAGATATCCAGTTTTAGTTACTAGCTCCATACTTAACAACTGGCAGGGATTGCGATCCATCAATGGATACCCTGGAGATCCAATCCACATCGAATATATATCCATCCCTGGAGCAACCATCAGGGATCTCCATCATGCATTCCGAGCTGAGTAT